GTGATTCTTGAAGTTAACAGCGGCTGACTGGCGGACTTGCTCGTCCACGGACTGCTCGTCCAGGAGGCGGAGGACTGCAAGGCCATAGTTGGGACGATCGGCAGCCTCCGCCAAAGCCGACTCCGCGCGGCGGCGGGGCTCCGGAAGCGGTGAAAGGGTGTTCAGGAAACACTGGGATAGGAATTGTAGGGTTTCGGTGTTCAAATCCATATTGCCCCCCACTGATTAACTGTGCAGTGGTTTTTGCTTGGGGGGTTTATGAGCTAGGGTTTGGGGTCTTGCTGCTATGATCGGCGGCTAGAGAATTTCACGCACACGCTGATGACAAAGGTAAAAACGATACAGAAAGAAACCTGAAACTGCGCCGGAAAAATGAGATCGCCGACAAAAATGAAATTTTGAAAACGAGGGCTCGGAGTCGGAGCAAAGGGGGATCACCACATCACCAGATAGCAACAAGGAGAAGAAAAGGAAAATCAAAATTTGAACGGTACAAAATTGTGTGTAAATTTGGTTGAGGGTTTGTATTGGGCCAATGCTGTCATTCGGTTTAGACTCTAAATGGGCATCCCAATGAGTCTATCTATGAATCAACTAAAAGGTTCAATAAGGTGCTTCTTTCAGGCCCGTTTTAACTTGTATCAAGTTATGACAAAATTTAGGAGAAAACAACCTCCAGCATCTTCTTTAATTTAGTAAATGCCACAAAGAGGAGCCCAAAGTTTTTATTCCACTTTTATACTTTGAGACACAATAAAACGAGAATTAGAAAAATCAATTTACAAAATTAACATTATTTGTTTAATATATAATAACTCTTCGGTATTAATTAGATAGGTTAAAAAAACGGTAAGTATATCAATAATATGTAAGTAATTTTTGTTTGATTCTGCAAATCCCACATACCAGTATTAATTAGATAGGTTTAGATAAGGTGCTTTTTGAAGTTGTTTATCATATGGTTATATAGTGTATACTCTCACATGTGTGTTTGTTTAGTATATTTTGTGTATCTTTCATTTTTTTTTTTTTTTTTT